GTGTGCTCCCGGAGCTTTCTGTTGATAAGCAGTGGAGGCACTATTTGAAGTCCAAAAGAAACTTAAATTTGATGCTGTAGGGAAAATAGGCTGGGTTGTGCTGAGCATAATGGGTGAGAAATAGAGTTGTGTATGCACAGTAAAAAGAGTGAAGAATGAAACGGGTCCTCCTTTTTCAGCTTTTTTTATGGTGTAGCCATATAGAAGTTGGGAGTGATAGGAGCTGGGAGGAGAAACTGTAGCTTAGTCTTGGACCAGCATAGGATATCCTGAATGATAGCTTGGCAGTGAAAGCAGCTGTCAAGCAACCTGCAGCTTTTATTTATTTATTTATTTATTTAAAGTACAACCTGGCTGCAGTGGAGGCATTCAAGAAGAAGAGCCCTTGAGTTGGAAGTTTGCAAGCAGCATGGGGATTGTGTCAACATGGGGAAAACAACTTAGGTGTCAGTAGGGAAACCTGTTCAGTCAGTTGAGAGATTTGGATGCTTAAGGAATGGTGTTGAGAATAATGCAAACAAAAATGTAAAGCCATCTTACAAATTAGTGGTGTGGCCTTGCTGGTATTTTGCGAGGTCCTTCTCTTGTCCTTAAAAAAAAAAAAAAAAAAAAGCTGTACAATCAGAAGGTTAACAGAAGTGAGCAGGAGCTAGGAGTATTTAGGTGGGAGTAGTCTTATCTAAGGCTGTTAACTTGAGGAAACTGATGAGGAACATAAGGGAAAGGGTATAAAGTGATGAAAGAGAAAGGAGAGGTGGCTTTTTAAATGAATTCCAAAAGTGGCAAACTTAGAATTCTAGAGGAAACTTCTCTTAATCAGCATACCTCTAGTCTAGACCAGTGGTTGTCAAGCAGGGGTACGTGTACCTCTGGGGGTACTTCGAAAGGTCCCAGGGGGTATGCAGGGGTGGGCAGGGACTGAGTGCCACCACCCTGTGCTGCTGCCTGACAGGAGCAGGGCTGGGGTGGGATGAGAGCAGGGCAGCTGTGCTGCCACGGCTCGCCACACCCCCGCTCTGAGTCTGGCTGCTCGTCACCCTCCTACCCCCTCATTCGGTATCTGGCTGCTTGTCGCCCCCCCCTCCCCCCCGGGGGTGGGGATGGAATACACTTATTAAAAAGGGGGTTGTTAGGGGTACACTTATTTAAAAAAAAAGTTGGAAACCCCTGGTCTAGACCATGGAATTCACTTCCACAGGAAGCTGTTGAGAGACTGGAGGAGTGAACTTTTCATATGCCTACTAGGAGCTGCTCAAATAAACCTCCTTCAAGGTGTATCCATTTAGGCTAGACACCTAACCAGTAGAAATCTGATTGTGGTCTTGTGTGGGGGCAGATTATTTCTATCTACTACTGGGGGGTTCTGACATCTCTTCTGGAAATGTCTGGGCCTGCCATGGTCTTAGGGCTTTGAGTCTGATCCCGTCTAGCAGGTCCTGTGAGTCTCTGCTTCGGGAAGCTCATGTGTTTCTAGGCTGGTGTTCAGCGTAAGGCCACCCCTGCTTCTGCAAAGGGTTATGAAGAGACAGAAGATCATCAGGAATTACTAGTACTGAGATGGCTGGACAGGTCCAAGCAGCAGCAGATGGCTGGTGACTTCGTTATCTGGCCTGTATGTCTCCCTGTTGGCAGAGGCTGCTATCTGTTCTGTGCAGGCAGGGACATAGGACGTACAGTATCTGAAGCTGTGAATGTCACTGACTTTCCTAAATATCTGTTGTATAAATACAGGGCCAGGGCAAAGGAAGGCACTCTGGTGGATTTTTTCCATCTGGAATTTGGAGTTGTTGCAATCTGCCCACTCTGCAGCTGCCCAAAATACAATGATTTCCCCTGAGAGCAAGATCTCACTCCTGAAAGCCAGTGGGGAGCCTCATCACTGCTTGGAGAGGGTTCCCTTGGAAGTTCTTTGCATTGATCACTTCTGCTAAGAGCTGCTTGAAACTGGCTACTGGTAATGTGCAACAGGACTCCAGCTTATGAAGCACTGCAGGGAGCCCTTGTTTGGCATGTAACAAACTGGGGCCCTAGGAGCAGCTGTTCTTTTATCTGGGGTGGAGAGGGGAGGGGAGGGAGGGAAGAGGAGGCTGGGATGCTGCAGTTGGCATGGCTATTTGATCATAACACCCAAGGGAACTGAAGGACTGGCTGCTCGCCTCTCCTCTGGGTAGCCTGTGCTGGGACTAATTCCATTGTTTCTAGCAGTTGGGCAGGTGTCCTAGCCAATTGTGAGTATAGGCATAACCAAAAGCCAGGTGCTGCTAGCCCAGTCAGATGGGTTGGTATTCCCAGTAGATTTGTCTAAGAGAACCAACTCCACCTGGGGTTGGGGCCTAAGAGGTGTGCCTCCCTCATCCTTGCTTCCCATGACAGGGAGGTGAACTTAACTCTGCTGAGCAGTTCTCTTTTCCTTCCCTCATTCTGGTAAATATAGTTTATGGCCCTTCACCCACTTCAGAAAGCATGCTGGGTGGTAGACAACATGAGGTCAGTAAAGGGGCCTGGCCCCCAGTTAGGCCAATGAAAAATAGGAGCAGTGATGCTACAGCTCCAGCTAATATGCTGGAGTAGCTCTTTCTGGGTTCTTCATGGGAGAGACATGGTCCCAGCCTGGGGATGAGTGCAGCAGAGAGAAACCTGGCCAGCATCATTCTCAGTGAAAAGGTAAGGGGCCAGCAAGGCACTTGGGCTGTGTAG